ACCGCCTGCAGGGCCAGGCCGCCGTAGCCGGCGCGCAGCGTCGGGTCGGGGTGGGCGGCGATGACCGCGTCGAGCAGGCGGTCCCCCTCGCCGGCGGACGGCCCCAACGCGACGAAGCCGCAGAAGCAGCGGAGCAGATTCGCCTCCGCAGTCGCGTGGAAACACGGATAGGGGCCGCTCCGGCAGCTGAAGGGTTGGGACGGGAGCCCGGGAGCCGGCGCGCGGCGATCGGGGTCCCAGAAGGCTTGGCTGTGGTAAAGCGCCATAAGCAAAGGAATCGCTCGTTCGCATAGGTCCACTAGCACGTGAGAAATAAGCGAGGAACACGGGGTGGTGGACTCGACATCGTCCTTGGTTGTGGCCTGACTTTTCACCTCTTCCTCCTCTTCGTCATCCTCGTCGACATTGACCACAACGTCGGCGGTTTCGATTTCGTGAAAATCCATCATTTCAAGAGAATTCACACCGGTCCATCCAAGCAGGCCTTCACCCTCACGGAGAACTCCCTGCGCAGCGAGAATAGCAAGCAAAAGATGCGAAGTAGCAAAGAAAAGAACTGACGCGGCATCCCATTGAGCCCGCAGCTTCCCCCTTAATGAAAGTTCTTTATAGGATATGATAATTGAAATAAGCGACTCCAATCCTAGCGTGCATTCTTGAATAATAAAAACGAGGCTTTGTAAGGAAAAGAGCACCTGTTTGGCCTCCTCTTCGGTTAACGGGCTAGACGGTGAAGGTTTGATAGATTTCGAAGAAAACGGCGGCGACCGGGCGGCTCGATACAACAAAAAAGGAGATTTGTTTTGAAGAAAAGACCTCAAACGTGTGGTCAAACCGGCTATCATACCCGCAACTCGAAAAGTAAAAGCTTCCTGTTCCACATAACCTTTTCTAAATGTTAAAAAGGCTCGTCGTAATGTATTATACCCCTCGACATCGGTTTTTACCATTGTGATCGGAAGGTTTTCGACTAGTAATTTAGAAAATAAAAACCACGCATCGTTTGATATTTGCAATAAAGAAGCCTCATACTGGGCAAGGTGCTCCTCCACTGTCTTTAGGACGTGCAGAGCGGACGACGGCGATGCCGCCTCACTGCTCACACAAACCAAACGGGAACGATAATAAAACAAAATGGTAAATGTTTCAATAAAAAGCGGAAAATCAGATTCAAGGCTCTTAAGAAAGTCATGCAGCGCATCGCTCAAAACGAGCTCAAAGTCTATAACATCATTTTCTTCGCCCTCATCTTTGGAGGAGGTGATCCGAAGGCACTCCTTCCATCCAAAGATATTTGCCATTACTAGACGATAGGCACCTGAGGAAAACGAGCGTTTAGCAAGGGCAGCGGCCTCGTCAAGCAATGGCATGAGAAACGTACCAGGAAAGCAACCAATCAGACGATGAACAAGGAAAACGTTATCAATCGATCTGTTTGAAAAAATACTTACATCTCGCCAAGCAAAATACGGCAGATGAATTGAAAGCAAATACCCCACGTGCTCCGATAGCGGAAGCGAATATGCGTAGAGATAAAACGAGCGCCGGCAAATACCAACGTCTATCAACCGCATCGCTGAATTCAAGATTAAAAGAAAACGAGAGGCGATAAATACCTCGATGCGTGATGAATCCAGAGCAGTCTCGCAGCTGGACACTAAGGAAGAAGAAATAAATTTTTCCATGGTTAATATTATGATTGAAATGATGCGCTCACGAACTTGATTTTGAGCAAATATAAACCGAAGCCATGGCGTTGGTGGCACCTCAGTGGATACCCATTCCAACAAACGCAATACCCAGGCCGAAAAAGAGGAAGAAAAGGAAAATGGCACTGAGGAAGAAGAAGACGTACGTTCCTCTCTTACCACAACGCGCTTATTATGATGAGGCTCTTCCTTTTCTCTTTTTCCTCCCCAGCACCACCACCACTCCACCACGGCGCGTAATATGGCAGGCGCGTGATTCGGATGCCGTAAAGAACCGCTCTCCAACAAATTTCCTAGTATTCGCCAAGCCTCCATATACATAAAACGCGCAGGTGATGCCTCTCCCTCACCCTCCGACGTCTTATCCTCAATTCCCTCCTCCCCAGTTCCGTCTTTTTCCTCTTTTTGATAGATATTTACTGCATGTTCTCTACGAGGAAACTTGACCGGCCTGTGTTCGAGATCAAAATGCCCGACTAAATACCCCTCACCCCGTCTTGGGCCCTCAGTATTCTCGATCAATTCGGTGGCTAACAACCCACAGGATAAGGACACCAGCGAGGAAGTTTGAACCACATCAAAGGAAATGGACCCACTCCAGGAGAAAATCTGATTAGTGAGAACACAAAACCCGAAAGAGGCGGTACAGAGCTCATACTGCGTGGTGGCCTGAATTCGGCAGCGAAAGAGTCGCCGTAGGACCTGCTCGGGTTCTTTTCCGCAAGGTTCGGCAGAATCGTGAAAGAAACCCCCCTCTCCCTCGCTCGCGGAAAAGTCAAAGGGAGCATCGGGCTGTGAATAAAGCAACTTGTGAAGTTGGGTGAGGGACGTGGTTGTTGGGAGGACCTCGAGGACGCATTGTCCGTACTTCGGATTCTCCAGATCCGCTGTGGATCGCGGGATGAAATTCCGAACGCCCCCCGAGCCTCCTGGAAGGGGAATAAAGAGCGCAGCAAGAAGTTGTCGAAAGACCCCACAATCGTGATTAAACAGTGCGCGGAAAGTAACCTCCAGCCCCTCTAAATACCGCGCGGTATGATAACAAAGGCTAGGATGGGGGTTCGCCATTGTCGGGAGGAGAGCAAGGAGAGTCAGCCCACCGTGCAGGCAGGCCGCGGGAAAGAGAACGGTGAGCCGCAGGACGGCAAGGTAAAGCCGCAGGGCCAGACGCGCATGCCGCCCATCCCGCGCGAAATTTCCGCTTCGGTAGGGCAAAACCCCCCGCGGGAGCCTATAAACCGCCCTGGGCGCATCTAAAAATAAAAACGGCTGCATCTCCAGCAGCAGTCGCCATAAGGCGCGATGGAAGTCGTCGGAAGGATAGGGGCCGCGCGCGGCGAGCTCGTGTTGGAGCTCGGCGGCGCTCTGCCCGAAGACCTTCAGGCGGTCCTGCAGGGTATTGCCGACGTCGTAATTAAGATTCCCCCGCTTGGAGGCGCCGGGGGCCGAAAGGGAGGGGGGGAGGATGACAGAACCGCCAGCCCTGGCCATCGCCATGCACAACGTTGGGTGTGGGGGTATGGGGGGGGCTGTTACCGCTTGGTGTTGGAAGTACTACTGTGGAGACCTTTATATCGGTGTGATGGTGAACCCAAAAAGGTGACATGCAAAGAACAAAAAGACATGACTATCGCTTCATATGAAGTATGCGCATAATATAATGGGAAAGGGGTTTACACGCCTCCCGCCTCTCCTTCCTCTCCCTCCTTGCCTTCCTCGCTTTACATTTTTAACGTGAGGAAACTATTTAAAGATATTGTTAATCCATATAAAATAGAATTAAAGACTGAATATGTGTGAATAATTCTCTAGATTTTACATTTTTGAATATTTCTTCTTTTTTTTTGTAATTGGATCAACATTGTACGATGATTAAGCAAGAAAAGTCTCTAAACTATCAAGAATGACATCATTTTCTTTGATTAATTCCTGTATTTGCTTGAGCCTTTCGATCTGTCGTCGAATAGCGATCTCCAGCGCATCCTGCGCGAGCGGTGAAGATGTGAGTTCCATATTAGGATTCTGCTGTTCTCTCCACATCCGTACGATGGCCTTTCCAACTTCTTTGATATCTTGTGGCTCGTTCGGTTTCAGATTAATCGAAAGCGCGGAGAGCTTGAGCGAGAAGGCCTTCGAGTTCGCAAGAACTTGTGTGCAGGACTCCTGCCGTTGTCTCTCGGTCAGACTATTTTTTCTCCGACGTGGGAGCAATTCGTGGCCCTGGAGGGCGGCCTCTTGTAAAGAGCACGAAAAAGAATCCCCGAGAAAAGTCTTCGCCACCTCTTTACCAGTGGACGGCCCAGCATTATTCTTGCCCTCAGAATGCGCACAAACCTCCTTGGCCTTTGTTTGCGCCCTATCTTCCTGCGCAAGCCCACAGGCCTTGGCCAAACATTGTAAAAAGATATTCGTCTTCTCCGGCTCACTGCCGGTGACGATTTTTTTCGGATTGACGCTGATCGTCCTATTGAGAAGCCGCCCAACATAATCTATCAAAATGCGAAGGTACTCGATTTTCTTTTCTTTGCTGTCAACATTGGCGGAATCCGTCAAGGCCGCGGGGAGGACGTGGAGGTAGGCCGCATACCGCGCGTTAATTGCGCTCACAATGTCGAAAATAAAGCGAAAAGGGGGCTTCTGCAGGCGTTTGACGGTGATCTCCGGGTAGGTAAGACCGAGGGGCTGAAAGGACTTGATGGTTTCGCTCCAGAAATCGACCTCCTGGGCATGGCTCACGTCCGACATCCAAAAATACCTGATTTAATTATGGGGCTTTTCCTTTTCTCAGGAAGGAAATCTACCAGATTGAATTCCTAATTGAGACTCTATGGAAGGCAGTTGTTTGAAATAATATATCTAAAACAGCTTTAGTTCCTCACAGTTGGTGTGACTGGTCGCATTATTTGTAGAGAAAAAAAGACAATGAAGGGAAACTAGAAGCATCCAAAGTGAAGAGAGAACGCAAATAACCTGGAGGCATGAAAATCGCAGAATAATATTTGGCAAAGTCATTAAAAAACATAACCTAGGGAATAAAAGTAGATGTAAAACACGTACATCGACATCATTGAAAAGATCCAATCATAGATTTAGAAAAATGTAATATACCTCAACCAATCATCATTTTTGAAAGGATAATAAACAGCACATTATCATCGAATTTGGCTTCTATACTGATTAGACCTCCCTGAGCCTGTGAAGTTTTAGGAAGCCTGTACATGTCAAAATCATTCTCGATCGACGTCATCGGAAATTGTAAAGGAGTTTCCCTCGTTAACTATAGTGATGCAGTAGATTTAAATACATTCCAAATAGATCGCAAGACCTCCTATTATATTTTCCTGGTGCTGAAGCTGTGATTATCTTTACTATATAAAGAAAATCAATGAACGCTGTTTTCGACGTGTTAGAGAATCACTGAATAGTAAATGGGAGATTTAAGGTTCTACGCCTAAATATTGCTCTGGACCGTAAGCCCATAACAACTAACGGGAGGATAACTCCAGTTGTGATGATAAATAGACCAAAAATATAGCCAACAACAGAAAATTTCATAGTACAACTATCGTATTAGTCTGTGCACACACTATCTATTGATCTATCTATATCTATATATAGATATATATATTATATGAAGTATAATATCTTAAAGAACACTGATTGATAAACGAGAAAAATAGAATCAGAAGCAAGAGTTAGATTCATGACAAAAAAAATAAATGGAAAAATAATGGAACATTAATAAAAACAAAGATTTCACATATAAGTGAGGTTGTGTTTATCACAAGCAACCATATATTACTCGAAAAGTAAATGACGCAATTAAAGGAAGGATCTCCTTGTATGGTTTATATCACCACAAAATAGATAGAATCCTTTAGTTTTCACGAGTTATCTTCTGTAGTAAGGATTCCACTCTGCTAGCAATTACAGGCTGACCGCGCTTTGTGCGATGCTTAAACAATTCCGCTCGCCTCTTTCGGAGCTGAAGTTTCGACGCCTTCTCATGAATCCGCTTCTCGCGGGCCTCTTTTTCCATTTTCTGCTTTTCCTCCTTCTTCTTTTGAATCTCCTCGATTTTGGTGACCGCCGTGCGGGGCTTAAATTTCTTTTTTAGATTCTCATTCACAGTCGTGGCGGCGAACTTCCGCTTTAAATTATACTTTCGTTTCTTTTTTTCGTTGTTGGTGAGGCTTTGGTCGTAGTCAATGGCCTCCAAGGCACCTTTTAAATCCGAGGAGGCCTCCTCGCGGGCCTGATCATACTCCTGGAGGCGTTTGGATTCGATCCCTTCCTCGGAACACAGACGTCGATAGGCCTCCATCCTTGCGCGCTCGGAGTCTTTGCGCTTTCGACCTTCATCCAAAAACGCCTTTCGGACATTATTCGAAAACGCCGCCTGCCGTTCGGACTTGAAATTATTTAGGGCAGGGCGATGTGGTAAAGTCATTTTCGCTACCCCACCCTTTTTATGATGAATCTCACCACTAAAGTTCGGATGAACTATATGAAGGAAATGTTTTAAATATGGAATTATTAATTGATTGGAACTTTTTGATAGAAGAAAAGCCTTGGAAGTTAATAAACTCGAACTCGCTCGGTTTTCAAAGTTGATTCATCATCTGGTTTTGATAGAGTTCTAATATACATTCTGAATTTTAATCTGAATCAGGATTTTTTACTTGGTAATTTACCTTTCGGATTTTTTTGACTCATTACTTCACGCTTTCTAATATAATACGTAACGAAAAGTTACATTACGAAAGTATAGATGATAGATAAAGATTATCGTACATAAAAAAGTGTATAAACGCACGCATAAGTGTGGAAAAAAAAAGTGGTACTCATAAGAAAGAACGTACGTTTTTTATTCTCGAAAAAAAAAGGAAGAAATGCATCAGCGTTTTGCTGTAGCCTTCAGGTTCACCTTTTAAGCTCAACCAAGGTGAATTCCTCCACATGAAAAACGTATTTTGCGGATTGCAAGATTTTATAAAACACAACTTCTTATCGGTGGAATCGATCTTTAATAAGAGGAGTTATGGGAGACTTCGAGCAAGCTGCCACAGAAACCCAATGACTGGAAAAGACGTCTCTACCGCTTGCTCAACGATACCTTTTAGTGAATAAATTTATTTAGAGGGGGGGAAAAGAGTAGAGCGATGCAAGATATCGGATGATTCCTTTAAGCAAGCTCCACATTGGGGCATGTGAACTGATTCTCTGTATTTTGTAGAGCCGTGTAAGCTTTTAGAATGGGATTTAGACTTCGTTTGAAAGTCCGGCCAATTTCTTCCAAAAGTCTATCGTGCGCAATGAGATGTCGTGCCTATATCCTGCGAAGCATCACTCATTGAAGCGGAAAGATATTCTAAACATCAGAAAAGATGTTTTTCCTTCTTGTGTGCATAAGCACTAATTGATATTTTTAAAAAGATTATCAAGTTCAACCGTAATGAAGAGCCAATAAAAATAAAAATTAGTAATGGTAAGAATAATAAATGAGCACATTACAAAGGATGAAGCATCCACATGCAATTCCTCTTTTAGAAAAGTAAAAATAAGCAGCTAAGTTTTAAATGGAAGGACTATACCCTCACATAAGTCTAAGTTGTGAAGACTCATATCCCTAAACGAACAGCATACATACTGTGAACAAACGCTATCTCCTATAAAATTTAAATATTACCAGTAGATCTCGAGTTTAATTCCTAGTCGATCGTTTTATGATCAAATACAATAAAATTATTGTCATCCTTTCGATATGACAATTAACTATTTGCCTAAACAAGAATCCTCATCCTTGGTATTGAATGGAGTTTTCTTTTAATAGGAACGAATGGGAAGAGGGGCCGATAAGGTAAATACGCAATAACGCAACTTTCCAAAAAAAAAGGTAGAGGAAAAAACAATAACGTTAGATCGCTTTAAGACGTTCAAGCTTTTCGAAAAAAATAAAAAACTTTTAGACAAAGCGATAAAATTCTAAACCTGTGGTTCTCCAGCTAAGCACAGATTTATACTATCGGATAAGGAATGGGAACGGTAGGACGTGCACCTAACACACTCTCAATATCATCCTTGTTTAGTTCCTTTTTATCCAAAAGAAGCTCTGCAAGCGTTATATGGGCTTTTTTGTTGTCTAAAAGACGCTTTTCCGTGAATTTATAAGCCGCCGCGACGATTTCTCTCGCTTCCGTCTCGACCTTCTCGTGGAGCTCTTCCGACCACGTCATCCATGCTCGTCCATCATTTTTGTCGTTCGGCTTAAACGCAAGATTCCCTATACTCTTCGACATCCCATACTTCAGAAGCTTTTCCATCGCAAGACGTGTGGCTCTCTGGAGGTCGTCCATCGCGCCTGTTGAGATGTCTTTTTCGAAAATCCGCTCCGCTGCTCGCCCGCCCATCAGAACGCAAAGCTGAGAAAAGAGAGAGACATCGGTCTGCGGCTCCATGGCCTCGTCTTGGAGCTGCTGGGTGTAGCCCCCTGCCCGCCCGCGGGGGATGATGGAGAGCTTAATCACGTCCTTTTGAAGAGGATCGAGCCAAGCAATAAGGCAATGCCCGACCTCGTGAAAGGCGGTGCGATGAAGGGAGGACGCGCTCATCCGCTGTCGATGCTTTTTCCCGATCAAAACGTCGTCGATGCTCTCCTGGAGGGTCACCAAAGGGACAAGGTCCATGTCCTGCATCGCCGCGCTAAGGGCGGCCTCGTTAACGATGGTCGAGATTTGCGCAGGGGAGACCCCCGGCGTACGGTCCGCCATGAGCTTGGCGTACTCCGAATTGCTCACCCCAGGCACCACTTTGATCTCAGTTGAAATATTCTCCGAAGGCGGCGTGACCTCCACGGCGGCCTCCGCGCTCTCAGCAGGTGGTTTAAAGACCTGAATCTTTGGCTTGCAGTTGGGATCCCCTGTGATAATAGAACTCAGGTAGTACTCGAAAAGCTCGCAGCGGGCCTGGGAATCGGGCATCGGGATATTGATTTTTCGATCAAACCGACCCTCGCGTAGAAGGGCTTTGTCAATCGCTTCGGGATAATTCGTCGCGGCTACGACAACGATTGCCTCCTTGCTCGTAAGCCCATCCAACTCCGCGAGGAGCTGGTTAATCGTTCGGTTCTCCTCGCTCCCACCACCGCCACCCATCGAGCGATTTCCCTGGCTGCGTGATCCGATCGCGTCGATTTCGTCAATAAATACCACGCAAGGGGCGGCCGCCTTGGCCTCCTCGAACAGTTCCCGCACTCGCTTCGGGCCGCTCCCGCCGAAGATCTCGATAAAATCGGCGCCGGAGCAACTGAAGAAGGGAGTGTTCGCCTCCCCAGCCATAGCCCGTGCGAGCAAGGTCTTCCCGGTTCCCGGCTTCCCCGTTAGTAAACACCCCTTTGGTAGCTTGGCGCCTAGCCGAGTGAACTTCTTTGGATCCTTCAGAAAGTCGACGTACTGCTTCAGATCTTCCTTCGCTTCCGGGATCCCAATGACATCCTTGAAAGTCGTCCCTTTCACCTCTGTGCGGAAGTTCCTCGACTTCATCGGGTTCATCATGTCCATCAAGCTGCTCATAGGGTTGTTGGATTTTCCCCCTTTAGCACTGGCGGCCATCGACTGGGTCTGCATCCGGCGGAAATACCAAATCGGGAGCAGAAAAATCCCCAGATTGACGATGACCGGTCCGATCCAGCTCGCGGCGCTCCCCCAGATCGACCCCGAAGGCCGTATCACGCCATCGTGAAACCCTTGATAGTAGTCCTTATCCAGTGGTTGAGACTGCGGAGGCGGAATGGGGGGGCAATACACGGGATGGGGAGGAATAAAGCTCGTTCCGGTCCCAGTGGGAGGGTAAGCAGGGTAGGATTGGGAATAAAACATCGGTTGTGGTGGTTGCTGTTGTAACTGTTGCTGCTGTTGCAGTTGTTGCTGCTGCTGTTGCTGTTGCAGTTGTTGCTGCTGCTGCTGCTGTTGGATGGTGTACATCTGCTGAAAAAGGGAGCCCCCCTGTGGTGGTACGTTTTGTGTCATTGGTGTCGTCCTATGCTGGAATGGGTGTGGCGCGCTCTCTATACTTTAATGGCATCCGTCCCAACAACCCGTCCAATTGAACACAGTAAAAAGGAAAAGGGGGGGGGAGGGAGAAGGAAATGTAACGGAAATGTAACAGAAAAGGGAAGATGTGAACCATACACCGGCACACACATAAACACAAGGAGCAGCGAAAATGTGGATTTCGTGCGGAAACGAAATCAAGAATGACACAAATGGTAGTTGCGGTTTCATAAAAAAAAATACAGTAAAAGGGAAATCGCAAGTAATTGAAATTAATTGAGATGAAGGGGAGAACGCATCGAAAAGGGAAACTAAGAACGAAGGTTATAACTTTGGCTTGTCTACATCCCATCCAAAGTGCTGTTTAAGAATGGGGTAACGAATAACGATACACTATAAACGTAAATTATTGAAGGCAAAAATAAAACATTTCGATATCTCTGTATAGAGATATAAGCACCACATGGCATAACGTGATGCCGCGTTGTATAGAAATAATTAAAATAAGAAATATATAGCAATAAATAAATACATTTTAAAGTGTGCATATGAAAGCTGTGTATCAAAGTAATCTCAGATGACTTTCTTCAAAAATAAACCCCATGTCGTTCATCACGTACCGGCTGCATACGATCAGATTCTATCAAGGGGGTTAAAAACCATTACTCACCTATCTCAAATTTAATAGCTTGATATCCCAATGTATCCTTTGGAAAAACAACTTTCTCAAAATAGCGTGAATGTGTGTAAAATAGACTCATCAAGGCCCTTCGCATCCTCCTTTATCCCACCAAACTTCTTTAAATTTTAGTTGGTGTTAATTTTTGCTATCGCAGTTGCTGCCTTTCCAGCTAGCGCTGAGTTTCAGACTCCCCATACAAAGTTTCTTCGTAGTAAACAGGGCTAGGAAGCGATGGTGAAAAAGAGCGTGAATGGGAAGGAAAGGAAGTGGACCCCGTACGCACCTCCTCGTCGCTGTTAGACGAATGCCTAAAAAACACATCCTCATGATCACTTCGGCTTACCTCATTCGGGGTTTCAGACCACCGCGAGGTGTTTGGAAGAGATAAGAAAAACTTGTTGTAATTATAAGAATTAAACGGGAGTGTTTCCCTCTGACGCTGCATCTGCGCCGAATGCACAGAAAGTCTTTGAGATAGTGATGCGGTGTAGTTGAAGGCGGACATCAAATTATGCCGAAAAGTGAACTGGCTTACCTCAATCGCGAGACGACAAGTGCGCTCTTGGACAAGCAGCCCCTGAATTTTATAATGAGAGACCATGGGCAATAATTGCCCCCGCATCTGCTCCGCCGTTTGATCACGCCATCGAACGGGAAAAGTCTTCACATCCGCCCCATTACCGCGCATTTCCTCGGCGATACCCAGTGTTAACGCGTTTAATGTGTTTTCCACCGCCGCCGAGGGCTCCTCAAGAAACGGTAGCAGGTGATCAACCGGATCGGCATGGACCGGCTTAAAATCCAAGTAGGCCTCCTTATAATAGGAGTTCTGAACGAAATTCGTAATGATGGAGGGACCCTCATACATGATGGTGAGCTATATATTTTTTAGCCTGAGATACTTGCTGCATTCTTCAAAAGAAAGATAAATAACAAAGATAATTTAGAAGCTCAAGGTCATAAGTAGAACACGCAAAAAGAGGTGGAAGGTGACGATTGATATATATAGATAAAATCAACTTCTAATATTAAGAAGAAAAAGGGTTTCGTGCGATAGGAGTCAGAAAACCCCCTTATGTAAAATCAGTTAGATAAAATCTAAATCAATCACAAATCTAAACAGTAGTCATCGCCTTCATCGATGTCCTACCTTGAAGGGGATATGGTTGTGATAAAAGAATATGGGCTTAAACAACCAAGAAAAAAAATTAACCATTTCCATGAATCTAAGCGCATTTTTCACAAGAGGGACTTCGAAATTGTCACTCCAATCATTGCATTAAACTTACCACCAAAGTGCAAATGCCTTGATCCTAGAACCTGATTTACGTAAACCTCTATGGACACATCATTAGGCATCCTTTTGAGGCCTCTTTATCGATAAAAATTTAGGGAATAACCAAACCAATGGATATTTATACTAGTCCGATAGAGATTCATCACTAGAGATGTAATAGATGCACTCATCCGCACTTTCCGCAGGCGGCAAGACCCCACAAAAGGACGAATGGATGCAAGAAGGAATGCGGTTGTTGTCGTGAAGGCATTTGCAATGATTCTTCCCAACCAGAATGGGGTTGACTTCTTCTAGTGGTCCCTCCACGTGGAGTTTTGTCGCCGCATGGGGCTTTACCGCTGCCTCCGGCAAGCGCAGAATCTCAAAAAAACAACGATTAGAGAAACACAGTTTCATCCGTTCCGTTCCATTTGCAGAGTTCGGTATTTCCATCACCACTTCCCCTCTTTCCCAATCCTCCGGTAAAAACAGCCGAACCCTGAGCTCGTGGCCCCCCCATAGCGGGTGATCCGCGGCGTTGGGCGCGATAAACGGCAAAAGGAGCCGCTCCAGAGGGTTTGCCGCGAGGGAACCGAAGGAAATAGCCGCGATGGCGTCATCTAGGCGTTTGGAATCATCCAACGCGAGGATGAAACATCGAGAACTTCCCCGAGGCGAACTACCCTCGGGGGGGGGATACCTCGAGACGTCAAAGTTCGGCGGCCAGCGGGATCGCGCGCCGTCCGCGTCCTCGTCATGGGCGAAGAGAAATTGGATCACCGGATGAGTGAGCATCGCGGCGATGCGGTCGGCCTCGCGGCCGCGGACCCCCGCGGGGAGGGAGGGCTGCCGGGCGAAAAATCCAAACCGCGCGGGATCCACCAGCGGGACCGCGGCGGAGAGATCGAACGGAAAGACCAGCGGCTCCACCTCCAACTCCGCAAAGTCGAACCCGGGGAAGCGAAAGCCGCGGTTGAGGCCGGGGAAGGGCCCATCCCGCACCCACGTCACGACCGCG